CCCGCCGAGCATCCCGCGGCCGAGCGCCCCACTCACCGCCTTCTTCATGGTGGCCGCCATCTTGGGACTGAACTACGGCGCGAGGCGGGGAGGGTCCGCACGGCCCGCCCCGGCCCCGCGCCCTCCCTCGCTCCGCGTCGGCCGAGGACTCCCGCAGAACAAAACGCGGCCTCCACACTCCCTCCGATTGGATCTTCGATCAGTGATTCCTAACGTCTGGGGACTCGGGGAGGAAATGTAGCCTGGAAGGACTTGGTACATTCCAATTAAAGGGACAGGCGTCTCCCTGTGGGCCGACAGAAACTGGGGGTGTGGGGACGGCCGCAGGTTCCTGCAGCGGCCAGCAGGGGGCGCCCAGCGCGCAGAGACCGCAAGCCGACGGAAGGGAAATTCCTTTCCGTCAATCCCACAAACCTCCCTAAAAAAAGAGCTGGGAGCGAATGACCTTGGCAATAGCATGTGAGCTGTTTGTGCCCTGATAATTCAGCTGGTATAACCAGGAAGTACTCCCAGAAGTTAATTTATTCAACAGTGCTATTCAGCAATTACCCTACTCTGGCACATGTGCCGCCTGATTTTTTTTTCTTCTCTCTCTCTCTTTTTTTTTTTTTTTTTGTCTCTAGATCCCTTTACACTCTTAAAAATTATGGAGGACTGCCAAAGAACTTCTGTTCTATATTCATCGATGTATATCATTCTAGCAATTAGAGCAGAACTTTTGAATGTATTTATTAATCAAAAATAATTTAAAAACTCATTGCATGTTGTGACATTTTGAAATTAAAAATAAACATATTTTCTAGGACAAAAAGAAATTTGAAAAGAATGGCATAGTTTTACATTTTTGCAGATCTTTGTAATGTGTGGCTTAATGGAAGTTTAGATTCTCATGCCTGCTTCTGCAGGCAGTCTCTTGCAATACGTTGTTTAATTGACATATATGAAGAAAATCTGATCTCACCTAGATATGTAATTGAAAATGGGAGGTCCTCCGGGATCCCCTGAAAAGATCTCCACAGTTTGAGAACTGCTCTAGACAAGTCTTCTTTCTCAAAGTCCCAGTTTCCTCTTTGGTGAGTGGGAGGGCGGGGTCTCATAGCCCCCTCTGCTCTCCCTTCCACAGCACTTGCCCCACGTGGCATTGCCAGTTCTGCTGGGGTCCCAGCTCCAGACGCCAAGCCTGCTGCATTTTGTCTTCCCCGTGCCCAGCTCATATGCTCTAAGTATACATTTGTCGAATAAAGACGTTTCTTCAGGGTTAAATCTTTTTAAAGGATCTGGCTTATATTGGCAGCTCCATCAACGATACTCATTCATTGAAAAATTCACAAACTAGCAAAATTTAAAGGCACTGCAGAAATGAACAGCAGAGGGGGAGACAAAACAAAAAAAAAGTGCAAAATCATTACAAAGGGTGCCAAGGGCATGAAGGGGAAAACAAATGAGATGCTGAGACAGAGAAAAACAGAATGGAGGGATTGAAGAGGGGCTCTTAGCTGGGAGGAGGAGGGATTTCTAAATTAAAAAAAAAATCATCTGTCTTTTAAATTTAGAATAAATATATTTTAATAGAGCATTTAAACATCTCTGACTTAAAGTGAAAACCAGCTTCACTTGCTAAGGGAGGAGATCTTAAGTAAAATCTCCACTCTGGGAGGCCCAGCCAGGAAGCTCCCCTTCAACACATCCAGGACCCAGAAAGAGCAGCACCCCTCTTTAAGCACCCTTGTAGCCCCCCACCCCCTGCACATTTCCTTTTGAACTCTGTCTCCCCTGTTACATTGGGAGCATCCACGGAAACAAAGTTTGTTCCTTCATCTCTGTAATCGCAACATCAATAATCGCAGGGAAGTAGGTACAAATATTAGCGAATGAATAAATGGTGTACGGAATGAGTGACTGTATTTAGGAATTCACACCGTAATGTATGATACAATATAGCTGTTGATGGATTCATTCAGTAACAATGTACAAGAGTCCGTAGAATATCTCCATTCACTTTTTTTTTTCCCGGCTGGTAGATCTAGTACTATGTGCCTCACAGTGATCATGTGGACTCGTGGCCTGAATAGCTCTCTCCTCCTTCACCAGGTGGCGCTGTAACTCCAGATTCTGACATTTTCTTTTCCTTTTGCAAACCCTCAGAAACTGTCCACATTCTTGTCTATGCTGCACCAAGCAAGATTGCACAAGAGCAAGGAAACCGCTCTGTCTCTGAGCCAAAATATAATCATCTCTCTCAAGTTTGAATTCTCACCTTAGTTTTTACTGGAAAAAAGCGTCACATTTTCCCCAACCCCTCCAGTGTATATGCATTGTTCTAAAGTCTTTATGAGACTTTCACTAAACTAACCTGTTTCAAAGGTAATTTGGATCTTGAGAAAGGAGTCAGAACTTGTTATAAGGAGCATTCACAGCATATCGTCAAATTAAAATATAAATTCCCTAGCGTGATTCATTCAGCAAGGATCTGCCCGGAACCTGGGACACACCTAGTGTTCAGCCAGGCAGCCTCTTCACACAGGTGCTGCTCAGACAAGGAGCTGTCTTGCAGTGAAGTGGGCAACTGATGTGTTTGTGACCACCAAATCTCTCCTGAATACTTTTCTCTATACTTGGGGGAAATTTCCAGGTCACAGGTGTCACTTCTCCATTCTAGAGGTCAGAACTCAATTTCTTAGCATCTTTGAAGCTGGGATGCAGGTCTGAGGATTTAGGTCCAGCCAATCATATTCAGCAGAGGGAAACACTGCTCTAAGAGAGCAGTGAGAAGAGATACCAGGTGCCTGGGGAATCCATTCCCGGTGATGGGGGCAGCCTGGCAGAGGGAGGAGCAGGAAGGGAGTCCCAGCAGAAGGTCCTGGCCTTAGTGACTCAGCCCCAGAGGTGCTGAGATGGTCGCAGCCAACAGTCTTGCAAGGTCATCTCAATGTCATCCTTAGATGCTTGCCTTCACTACAGATTCCTCAGCCCTCACAGAGGCTCTGTGCGCATTCCAAACCCCTTTTTCAGATTCTTCAATGGCTGAGTCTGGTACAGGATTAGATTATTTGCCACAAAGAACCTAAAAAGATGTTATTTTTAGAGAAAAGTTATTCCTTTGTCATGGCAAATTCAGCCAAGACAATCAGGAAGGGATGGAATGACAGAAAAACAAACAAAAAGCTGCAATATTGCTTAGGCTGTTGTGAGGCGAAATGCTAGCTGAAGGAAAAAAACACCCTTACCATATTGCCATGGGACACACCAATTACAATCACGGACCTGGTGCGGACTTTCAAGGCTTTGGATTGTGTAAATCACATACTCAAGTAACCTGCAGGCTGCATTTGTGTCAAACTGGCACGGGCTTTAATGAAGAGACAAGGCTGAGGGGATATTTAAACCACAACGAAGTCAGCCTTGAGCCCACAAACCAGCACGACCACCCCCCACCATCATGTAACCATCAGCTAGTGGGGGTTACACATGTAAATGAAAGACAGAAAACAATTAACAGAGAGAAGTGATCCCTCAACTGCTGCTTAATGCTTGTAAAACCTCAAAAAGCATCATGACTAATCTCTTTGGAGAAATGTGGTTCATGTCCAGCCATAAGCGAAGAATGAGATGGAAGGCGTCACGGAAACCATTGCTGTCAATCACTGATGTCTCTTCAGTCTTTCTCGGGGCAAAAGAGAAATAAAAAATCAGCCCCTGACCTCACGCTCATACACGGCCACTCGGAAAAGAGATGGATGCTTAGAAATGGTTAGAGAGCAGTTTAATTAAATGAATAGGCACTTTGATTGTTTTAAGGATAATTCTATTTCTGGCCACCTATTCTGAGAAAATAGGTCTCAAACCAGAAATAGAATCTTTGTACAAGTGTGGTTATTAAATCAGTTAGTTTATGAGAATGAAACATTTGAACAACCCTAAGGGTTCAGCCCATAAGATGCCCACAGTAATTTGCTTTTATCATGATGTCGGTTTTGGAAAATAGTGACATGGGAAAGCCAAGCTGAAAAAAAGATAGGATACAAAATTCCAATCCCAATTTTGTTCTCAAAAGCATATCTTTAGGGATATAGATGGATATACTTAGAAAAATATAGAAATGAAACACATAAAAATGTTAATATACAACAGTGGTTTTATAGCTGGGTGTCAGGGATTCAAGGTGATTTTTTTACTTGACCTCTACAGCTCTTTCTACATTTTCTAAGTTTTTGGACTACTTTGTTACTCAGGTAGAAATCAATATTAGTTTTTTGGGGGGTGGGAAGTAATTAGGTTTATTTCTTTATTTTTAGAGGTGGCACTGGGAACTGAATCCAGGACCTCTTGCATACTAAGCACACACTCTATCACTTGAGCTATACCCTCCCCCCAATATTAATGTTAACAGATGTATAATAATGTCAGACATAGTAGTAAGTGATAAAATCAAGCTATAAAATGGACACATTGTGATTCTACCTAGAATTTTTAAACCCACCCATAGATAGAATATATAGGAAGAAATATGTAAAACTCTTCTCAGGGTGGTGACGTGAAATGCAATTATTTTTTCTCATTTGTACTTTCTCAGGTTTCATTTGATGATTACATGTTACTTTAATAACATCTGGGAGACTTCTTTTTTAAGACATGACTGTGCATTCATTTTCTCAGTAAAGATAAGGAAGGTTAGGTCATTCTCACATTCCACCCATCTGTGATGCTATTCAGTCATCAGAAGCAAAGGATGTAAGTCTAAATAAGTCCTCAGCATTATTGTCCTAAGTTTTTGAGAAGGAACAAGAGGCTTTCTGAGATGTTCAGAAATTAACTACATTTTTCTAAAATTTCTGCAAATTTAATCCTTAATGTGATGAGCACAAATCTCATAAAGCATGACTGCTAGAAGAAATTACATTTATTTGCTTAATCTGTAAATGTTTGTTGTAAGAACTGACTTTTGCCCACTTAACCTGTAACTAAGTTGATGTTCTTTTTGATAATTAGGCCCATAGTATAGAGAAGGATGTGGAGATACAGATATAGATTGATAGCTGGTGTCTTCTTTGTAAGAAAGCTTCAGACTCCCTGAGTCTAGTTTTCTCCAATACACTGCTCAGAGTAAAGGGTGCCTCTAGCAGATTCAAGTCCAAACACGGAACAAATACCACAATAATGTCATGAGAGTGAATTGCTCTTACGCATGTGCACGTAAATTACAGCAGGTTCATTAAACTGATTTTCTTATATGCTTTCTTAAGTTAAAAAGGATG